AAAAATGAACGTCTCGGACCTGCACTCGCCCTGCGCGATTCGTTATTGTTTTAGTTAGTTAGCTAGGTGTTGTTCCTCCGAACAGAGGCCTCAGTACGAGTTTCTTTTTTGTTTAAAGTAATAGTAACGAGTACGCGTTCGGCGCTGTGATTGGCCGGATCTAATGAACCAACCAATGAGCACAGCACGCCGTCTCGTTTCGATTACGTCTACATAAGTACATAATATCTCTGACATGAGAGTGGTGTTGTCCCTTAAAGACAAAATAAATATTTTAATTAATTAAAAAAAGGAGAAACCGTTCCTAAGTTAGCTGCTCAGTATGGTAGTTAGGTACATCCACGATTAGTGAAATTAAGAAGAATACTGATTCAATTTTGTTGTACACCTGCAAATTAAGTAGTGAAGACGGGAGTGAACATCGAAAAATGATGAAGAAAACGAAAAATATACTTTTACTGTATTTGTTTTTTTTGATACATAAATAAGATACATAACATCGTATGTAGAACATATGTATGCACAAAACCCGCTTTTCTTAGTACAATCGATTATCCGGATTTTTGATTTTCCGAATGCCTAACGACAATAATTAGTCCGGTTAATCGAGTTTCTACTGTAATTATAAGTATTTTATTTAAAAAATCTCTTATGTATGAGAAATGTTTACCCTTCAAGGGCCCTTAAAATTTTTTTTATACGCCCGCCCAAGGCACGCTACACCACTGCAGAAATCTTTGCCGTCATAACGCCCCAAGATATATCAGCAATCGCCACTTGTTTACTTACCCGACTTTTCATAAAATACCTGTTTAACCTCCGGCCTTCTTGACCCCCAGTCGTGCCACGCGATCAAGATCAAAGGCATACATCTAGTCAACGTGCCGGTCTTTGGTCACTCAATCTTGGCCCTTGCCAAGAAGATTATGAAGCCCAAACATGCAGAGAGATTGCACCTTTATGACGGATTTGAGAACATTTTCAATGTGTTACCTAGGGAAATATTTCCAAGTGATATTGGTGGGACTGCTAATACTACTGTCCAGGAGTTATCGGGTGAGTTGATAGTTTTACTTAACATCACGCCTTTTATCCCCGAAGGGATAGGCAGAGGTGCACATTCTGCATTTAATGCCACTGTACAATGTAATACTCACTTTTCACTATTTATCGCATGAGTTCCATGTAATATGTGAGCCTAGCACGACTTTATTATACGTGGCACAATTCCTGACTTTATACTATTGTTGGCATTTTTTTTAAAATCCTATAATACTTTGCCTGAGCCGAAAATCGAACCCAAGATGCCTTGCCCGGCAGTCGCATTTGCGACCACTCGGGTAATGAAGCAATAATAGTAGGATTAATGTAAATATTTTGTTTATAGTAAAAAAATGGTTATTATTCTTTGGTAGATACGCCGATTATTTGCGAAGAAAATTCAATTGCAAATTATTATTACTATATACCTAACTATTTAGAATTTACTTCAAATTCTGTTTCAATTGAATTATTTTAGTATTAGCAAATATAACAAATTACCTTTTATTAGGATAATTTACAAAACAAACCCATTTTCTAAAGTATTATTTGAAAAAAAAAACTATAAAAAGAATAGTTCATCGTTGCTAAATTCGTCTCTATAGTCAGAATTTTAATTAGATTCCAGATTTGACAATAGCTACTGTCATTTTGTGAAATAATGATACCACATATAATAGTGTGTGATGCACACAAAAATCGATAAACAATAAGTGTGCATGTTTTATAATAAATGTTACAGAAAGTGACAGGATAGCGATAGCGATGACGGCGACAATTTATAAAATAACTTATTACCATAATACATCTATCTGTTTTATTTGTCATGTTCCTTCATGATAACATTTTTTTTTATTTCACACACAATTATAAAAGAAAAGTCTCAGATCGTTAATTAATCGTCAAAAATAAATTATCTGTTTAGAAATATTTTATTTCCTGATATACTTAGTTTACGAGAGCAAAATTAAAAACGAGAAGAATCGATCCAGAAATATTGCATTTCCATATCGAATAATTTCGCAACGTCACTATTTAGTACTTGTCATAACGTTGCAACACTGAAATTGTCAAATCTGGAATCGAATTAAAATTCCGAGTATAGTTATAGTGGATGACATTAAATCAATCTAGAAAAAGAAAAATATTAGTAAATATCTTATTCAAGAAAGAATTCGCGTTCGTTTAGAATATAGAACATGGCTTCAAACTTACAAATAGTATCTATGATAAAGAAAACAAAAAAAATATAAAAATAATTCTTTTTACAGATGCATGGTATGAAACCCTCCAATCAGAATCATGGAAGCGATTCTACGCGAACCAGGACAAGAACTTCTTCGTGGACGAGTCAAAAAGGATAACGCCATCAAAAATCACAGACGACTTCGGTGTAGAGGGAACCTTCAGAAAACTAGAATTAGATTAATTTATACCCAATTAGAGTTACATTTAAGGCTATATTCGCATGTCCCCAATAAGTTCCTGGTAAATTTAATTGGCAGATAGTGTTAAAATGTAGATTTATGTGGTGGATAGCTGCTATGAAACGGACCATTAGGAAAGTAATATACCTCTAGTTAGACAATTATTGTTGTGATTTAAGAGTTTTTTCTAAGTAATTATGGTGTTTAAGCAAGTGCCAATCTCTGAGCGATTGATGTCTGAATTTGGTTTCGGTTCATTTCCGAGGGCTGAGTACGAATTTATATTACGTTGAAAGTAATGAGACCGTGCTGGGCGCTCTGATTGGCCGGCTCCCATAAACCAACCAATCAGAGTGCTGCGTCGAGCGCGGTCTCGCTTCAATTATTTCAACGTAAAACAAACTTGTAGTAAAGCCTCTGAAGTTGATCAATTTCACAGAATACAGAAATAGTGTTCTAATTAATTCTCAGAATGAATTTGTTATAGTGACTGCGTCGTTACTAAAGTGGTTATGTCGTAGAGCAAAGTCTACAAAATTATTATTAACATTTGGGTGATTGAAAAATTATAAGACATACGAAATTAATAATTATGTTTTTCGACTTACTCACGTAATTGACGCGCTGCGACAGTAGCCGCGTCGCGTGTCGCGAAATACTGCTCATGACTATGAGCCTCTAGCATGGCTTGAATCTAGTCAGGTTCCGCGTAAGCCGAAAAACATAATTATTAATTGAAAAAATCTTAAGTAGTATCACGAAGGCTTATATTGTGTTCTAAAATTCGCCTCTATTACATGTAAACGACTTATAACATAACTGTTGCCTAGACTAAACCTATCTGGCCAAGATCAAGATCTTGACCGGACTCCAATTTGCATTTCATTGTCGATTTCATGCATTTTAGGCCTAGAATAATAATTATATCAATTAATTCAGTGGTATTCCGATACGGGTGTCAGTACTTATGTGATATTTTAACTTAATAATAATTGTCATTATTAAACATTATTTAGAGTAGACTGACGACATTCCCAAGATGGCTTGCAGTGGTTGGATGAAATGAGCTGAAGACCGAGCTCAGTGGCGTGCCATTGCAGAGGCCTATGACCAGCAGTGGACGAATACGGGCTGATGATGATGATTAAGATTAGAAGGAAATACTCTCTGTCTCATTTATAATAATATGGATTCAATTGTAAAAGAAATTTAAGCGACAATTTTACCAGTACCTATTTAAATATTACTCGAAATGATATAAAAAATGCAAACATAAAAACATATGTACTTATAAATACTAAAAAACGCTATGTATTGTGTGATAAACACTATTATTATAAAAATAACAATATCTCAATGAAAGTTCTAACTAATTTAACGCCATTCCTAGATGGCATCACTGTCGAGTTATGTCTTGTAAATCTAACCACTGACAGTTTTTATTGAGCAAAATTACTACAGTTGATTTGCAGACGTTTTACCTAGGTATTAAAGACACAAATTATTGTTAATTTAGGTTAGTAAGTTGTTTGTCTATAAGTGTCTAATTAACTTTAGTATTTTAAGTAGGTATCTTTCAGTGAGATATTCAAATAAATGAGGTGAATTATAGAGCTTGTTTTTTTTCATTAACCTTAGGGAATGCAGATGGGATTTTAACCTAACCAATTTTATATCAGTCTCCCTCGTTGGCTGAGTGGTTGCAAGTGCTACTGGTGCCAGGGGTCTCGGGTTCGATTCCCGGGTAAAGCGTTACTGGGTTTTAAAAAAGTTCCAATAGTAGCACAGAGTCTAGAATTATGCCCGGTAATTGACAATAAGCTCACCCTCTATTACGTGGGACTTATAACATAAATAGCGTAAAGTAGGTGTTACATTGTAGAGTGGCATTAAGTGCCGTAATGTGCACCTTTGCCTACGCCTTCGGGGGTAAAAAGGCGTGATATTATGAGATTTTATATAAAATCCCTATTCTAACCTGAAAGAACGTCGCGGAGTACCTAACAGGTTACCGGGGCTCCGACTCGACGTGGAGGAGAAGGAACGGGGTGGTTTTTATTCAGTAAAAGTCTGACACTCCCTCTCGCCTCACCCAGGCGGGAACAGTCATTCGATGATTTTCCCCCCTTAAAAATAAATCTGAAAAAATGATATTGACTAAACAAAGACAGAGCATCGTCAAGACCACATCGACATGCCCAATGGCAATATGTAATGGGTTTGCAATTTTAAAATAATTGCAGTCGTTGCTCAATTTTGGTAGTGAAATGGGGCGTAGTGATAGTGGTCGCAATCTATATATAAAAGAAAGTCGTGTTAGTTACACTATTTATGACTCAAGAACGGCTATATCGATTTGGATGAAAATTGGCAGGGAGGTAGCTTAGAACCAGGAGATGGACATAGGATACTTTTTACCCAATA